GTGGATCGGAGAAACCGGGTGTGCGTCCTCCGGAGTCGGTGCACGATCCCCGGAATCGGGCGCCGGAGAACTAGGTGGCGTCCCTGGCCGCAGAGCGCACAGGTAAGGGGCCGGACGCCCTCCTGAATGGTGCAGGGGCGTGGTGAGGGCCCGGCGGCGGTGCGCTCTGGGAAGGGCTGCGGTTTTAGGATCCGAGTCTGCCTCTTGTCATCCGAGAAAGAGCCGGCAGGTAGGATAGCCCCGAGCCTGCGAGATTGCCCTCGATGCTGACGCCAGTCCCGGAGAGGGAGAGTCAGGGAGCTGCCCAACCTAAGGGCTGGGTCTTTCGAGCAACGGCTCTGCTGGGTTTGACCGCGAGAAGAAGCCGAGTTCAGGGCCCTGGATGCCGGCGCGGGAGGATGCGGCGCCGAGGGGCTGACTGAGACCACGGGGAGGCGCCGCGCGGGGTTCGGAGACACAGGAAACCTGTTTAATCGCGCCGCGCGAGCCTTCACCACATCCGCGAAATAGGGCGCGTCGGGGGACGCGGGCGACTCTCCGCCAAGCTTGCGTCCGGTTCTCCTGCGCCCGGCTGCCCGCCCCTGGCACCCGCCCTTCCGCGTTTTCGGGTGCTTGAGGGAGAGTTTGGAGCCTCAAGAGGTGCGGATGGCCCTGTCACAGGTCCCTGAAGCAGGGACGCGTCACCCTTCTTCGGTAACACAACTTGCCGCCTTCTGCATCGGGGGCACCCCACAAACCATCAGTCTCCTCATTGGAGACTCTCGGAGTTGATCAGGCTGTGAAGTTGTCACTTTTCCTTTTATCCTTTTTCTTACACTGAGACACCTGATTCCCCTAGAAGTTGTACGGATCCCCAGAGTTTGAGTTCTGGGATGGGGGCTTTTAGAAGTACTGTTGTTTCAAGCTGCAGCTGCAAAAGAGATAGCCCACAGGTAGGTTAAAGCATAGTTCTGGTATCCGATCATCCACACTGCATCATGCAAGGTGAGGTCCCTACCGGCCACAGAAGACCAGTCAAGCAGGCCTGGGCTGGAATGCATCCGGGCTAAAATAACTGACCATCCCCTCCAGCAGCTCGCTAGCACACGACTCTGCTGTCTCTCATAGCACTTAATCTCCCCGCAGTGAACTATCAGCCGTCCTCCACCAGAATGGAAGTTCCCGGAAAGCAGAGGCCTCTTTTGTGTTTTTCATCACTTGATCCCTAAAGTCAAGACCCATGCCAGACACTCAGTAGGTTTGCAACAAACATTTATGGAATGAATAAATAAAACTCTAAATATGAGGAATAGCTGGTTTTGCTTTCAATGTTTTTTTTTTTTTTTCTATTGGGGAAATTCACAAGTATCTAACTACTATTGATTGGGCACCTCCTGAGTTCTAAGATGCATACTAGGAACTTGTATTGGTTACCTCATTACACATAACAGTAGTCTTATTAGCTAAGAACTGTTAAACACATGGGAACTGGAGGCTTCAGCAACTTAACCAGTTTTCCCAAAATTACCCTGGCAGAATTAGGATTCCAGCCCATTTTCTCTTTAATGTCCTGGGTCACTTCCAAGAAGCTAAAATGTGGTTGTCACCATTACTGCCAATACACTTGTAGCTTTATTTGTAACAAAAGTTATTGCTTAGCCAAGAGGTTTGTTTCTATTATTGAGCTATATTTTCTTTTTCTTTTTTTTTTTTTTTAGAGGTTTTTCACTGTAGGGCGAGTGCGCTCGCCAGACAGACAGAGAGAGACATAGAGACAGAAAGCGAGAAATCACCCCCCAGAGGGGATGGTCACGCCGCAATCCCTTCTCCTCCATTCTCCTTTCGGGATCTTGGGCACGCATGCACACGCGCCGGGCGTGAGTTTTAAGCCACCGGGTCCGGGACATGAACCGCGGTCGACTACGTGTGAGTCCAGCGACATAGCCATTACGCTAACTGCTGGTTCCCGAGCTATATTTTCTGTAATAGCTGAGAGTTATGTTGTAAGCCAAATACTACAGACCTCTCATAGACTGTGTTACCTCATTTAGTCTTCACCATCTTTATATGCTGTGACATTATCTCTCTTTTTCAGATGAAGGAAAAACCTAGTTCAGGTACTTGTCCAGGGTTGGTAGTAAATTGCTGAACTAAATTTGGTTAGCTCTCTTTCTGACTCTAAACTCTCAGGTCCTTCCGCTGCTCTGTGCTGTCTCTTGCCCCCACTATTGACCCATGTAGAGTCAATGATATAATTTATTAAAACTGTCTGTGGCTTGGCTGTAAACTTTCTGGTGCCAATACCAAGTGTCTAGTTGTACTGCTTTCTGAATTATTGTGACCCTTACTGCCATTGATTTTTGTGGTTGAATTTATGGTTCACGGCTGTTGGTATTGATAGATTGGGGACTTTTAATATGTTCAGAAAGCTCCTGGACGATGCAAGCTATGAAAAAAATGATGCCCGGATTTCAAAAGTTCTTTGCACCAAAATAAGCTTTTGTTTAATTCCATTTTCCAAAAACTTTTTTGAAGTCTCCTTGTAAAAACTTCTGCATCTAACTCTAAAGAGAAATCTGATTGGTTTTACTTACTGTGGTAAATGAACTCTGAATAGCAATTCTTTATACCCCCTTGAGGAAAATGTTGGAAAGTCAGCAAATTCCACCATCTTGATATGCAGAACAGAGAGGTAGAAACCATAACTAATTCCAGAAACCTTTGCAGCACCTTTTAGTAAAATAATTGCATTTTTAAAAAGATAATTTATTCCATGAGGAAAGAGAGAGAGACCTTCCCAACAGGGTCCTTTTGCCATGACACACCCCCAGTCTCAGCAAGCCCAGATCACAGGCACATGTGTGCTAGAGGAGGTCTCGGGCTACACACCCAGGAGCTTTCCCCTGTGGATTCAGTTGTGTTACCACTCTCCTACCAGGCCCCATTAGCAGTACTATACTACCTTCATTGTTAATTGCATTTCAGGAATACTTCAGGCAAGGCTGGAAAACTCTCCAGCCTAAAATGCTCCTGGAAGTGATAGGGGTGTGAGAAGGATGGAAGTGGTCATGTTAAAAGAGCCTTCCATACATAATTGAGAGTTGTTTGTGGCTCCTTGCAAATTCCTTTCCTATCTAAATCTACTTAGTCATCAGCTTTCTGGCCCTCTCCTCTTGAAACTTCTTTCTTGACTTCCTAATTGCTACTGTTCAGACCGTGCTCAGGCTCACCCCCACCCTTATCTCAGTGTCTTTCTCACTGATTCCCTTCCTCTTGCCCCAACAACTGAGTTGAGGATCTTAGGGACTTCTTTCTTTTTTTTTTTAATTTTATTTAACTTTATTTATTCATTTGTTTATTTCAATTTGACCCAAGAGAGACAGAGAGAGAGAAAGTGAGAAAGCAAGCCGCCAGGTCCAGGACTCGAACTGTGGTCGGCCATGTGGGAATCCAGTGGCCTTAACCACCTTGCTCTCTGACCTAATAGTCCCAAGGTGAATTTTTCTCCCTCCGTCTCTCCTTCACACCTTGATCAGTAAATTTTTAAAGTACTGTCATTATATTATTAAGAATTCTTGGGTGGCTCATATAGTCAATATTAATAACAGCAGCAACAGCTGTTAAGCTTTTATGGACCACGTGTTATAAATGCTGCACGTCAGTTATTACATTTAATCCTTGACATCAAAACAGGCCCTGTTACTGTATTTCCAGTCTCCAGATGAGGCTGGCAAGAGTTACGTTCACAACTACTTTGGAATTACTACATGGTAGTGCTGAGGCTCAAATCCCCAGTTCTTCCGTTTGCACATTTTTTCCCTTTGTTAGTGATAGAGTCGGTATGTAAGCACATGAGAGAGAGTAGTGCCTCCTACTGTGTGTGGTCATGCCATGATCCCCTTTCTCTGGTCCTCCAGAGTGCCTCCTACTGTGTGTGGTCATGCCACGATCCCCTTCCTCTGGTCCTCCAGCCCATGAGATCTTTGGCATGCTCATTATGTTTCAGGCTAACCAGACTGAGCAGGCGATTCGATTCATGGTCACCATGTGGGATTGTCTTCTCTTGAGCAGCGCATTAGCGCTGAGCTGTGGAGCTGGCTCTTCTCTACCCATTTAAGCAGATTCCTTAGCCTAAAGTCAGGATCCAGCAGCCTGGCCTCAGGCTTGGCCTTCACCTCATCATTCCTCAACCTCGTAGTCTGAACTTCATTAATCAACAGAGCGTTTGGCCTTGCTCATGCACTCCTGTCTAGCCAGCTCTTTCGTGGTTTCTCCCTGTGAAAGCCTATGTCTTTCATGACTGAGTTCATAAAGTACTTCTGTCAGCATTATCTGTCACTCCAATCTCTGAGGATATTTTTTTTCCTAGGGGGCAAATGTGCTCACGGAAGAGACTCGGAGGCAGAGACAGGGAAAGTGAGATCACCCCCTAAGGGAGATGGTCATACCATAATCCCTTTTCCTCTTGGGATCTCAGGCACGCATGCACATGCACCCGACCAAGCTGCTGGGTCTGAGCCTTGAACAGTGCAGTTAGCCATCCAGTGGGATCCAGTGCCTTAACTACCACACACCTGGCTGGCTCCTCAGCATTAAAAAAAATCATTATTTTATTTATCATTATTATTATTTTTAAAAATTTGCTGCAGGGTATGAACACTTCCCAGAGAGAGAAAGGGAAAGTACAAAAGCAAGCCACCTGGTCTGGGACTTGAACCAGGGTCAGCCATGTGAGAGTCCAAACCATAACCACCACGCTACCTGCTGGCCCAGAGCATTTTTTAAAAATAATTATTTTATTTAACTTTATTTATTTTAATTTGACCAGAGAGGGACAGAGAGAGAGAGAGAGATTGAAAGTGAGAAAGCAAGCCTCAGGTCTGGGACTTGAACAATTTTTTAAACATGAAAAAGCCCGCAGTTCAATTTCTGATCTCTTGAGTATATAGCTAGTTTCTTTCTTTCCTTTAGCACTTGTATGAGGGGACTTTATAAAGCTTGTGGAAAACTGGAATGAAAATACAAGTTTATTTTGATGCAAACATTTTGGAATCTATGCATAGTTTTTTCATGTATGCATTTTCTAAAAAACCCTTTTGAAGATCCTTTGGTACCTTTCATGC